TGAAGTAAGATAGGAGAAGGCTGTTTAAATGCGAGGGATGCGGAGAGCCTACCTTCGGCATGGAAATATTTGGTTAAGAAATTTACTAGAAACTTCGACCAGAATTAGTACATTGAAGATTTATGTTATTTTTGTTTTATTGTTTTATTTTAATTTTTATATATTCTTCTTTTTTTTTTTCTCTTGTAAAATTTTTGATTTAAAAATTTTTATGTTCTATTCATGGAACATTTATGTTCCATTTTTCGACCTGAAGATGGCCTAATAACTAGGCTGAAAACGTTTGTTTTTTAAAATTATATTTATTTCTCGGCAAAAAGGGTGTTTTGTTTCTATTTAACAACATTCCTTCAATTTGAAGATCTCTTACTTAGTTTTAAATTAAATTACAAATGAATAAATAAAGCAATAATAAAATTATTAGCTGCTTAAGTCCTGAATATTTCAATTTTTTGAAAATACGGTTTCTCATCTGACATATTTTTCTGATTCCTTCTTTATGCAAAAGAATATATTTTTTTAAATTATTTGAAATAAAGAAAAATTACAAAATATAATACAGTACAGTGAAATTCACATTTAAATTTTGAAACAAAAACTTTGAAAATGAAGCATCATATAAGGTGGAAATTGCCAACTAATGTCCTTATACAGAAAAGATACAGTACTTGTGATAAAGTATTTCAACACAAATTCCTTTAATTTTGATTTCATACAAGATTCAAATTATTAGTTAAGATTCTCTACCAGACAGAATATTTTCAAAATATTTAATCTTTTAGTCAGTATTGATTTTTAAATTCTTTAAAACATTATTGAACAAACAACTCAATCTAGACTCAGGCATGTGATAGTGGATTAAGATCCTCAACTTAAGTCAAATTTATAAAGACATGGCCAAATACTTAAACATTAACTACAATTGTAACTAACAGTGTACAATTATTATGTAACAATAAAGATGAAGTTGATGTCAAAAGAGCACCAGTTTACAATATTCCTGTTTATGATAATAGATTTAAACCTAGACTAGTATACGTAAGTGTCATGAATTGATCACCAAATACAAGACTCAAAGAACACAACTATAATATTGCTCACAATAAACTAGTCACAGTTTTAGCCTGATATGCCATGGAATCAAGGATAATGGTAAATCTAGAAAATGCTAAATTAATTTAAAATGTCTATAAAGGGATATAGAAATATTGAAAATTCTCCATAAAGGCACAATGTGTCAATTCCCAAGATTGTGAAATGTTATATGCAATGTGAAAGATTTTTTATGATGACTTGTGAAGTGGAATGTAGCCAGTAACTAATTATACTTTAATTTATATTGGTCTTTACTGCATAATGCATTGTAACGAGTTTTGATTTTGATACAAATTTCTAACCAATATGTTGATTGGAAATCCAAATCAAATCTCTGACTTCCTATGTAACATTAACAAAATTAATATATTTTCAGTACTTTTAGAATGAAAAGTGTGCAAGGTACTTTTGACTCACCCTGTATATGAGGTAGTGAGAAAGCAAGATCCTAAAGTTGTGGTAAAGTCTTAATTGTGAATGCAGATAGAAAAATTATCAAATAAACAGCAGCAGATTTCCATTAAACAAAATATTTGTTTCTGTTATAACCATATTATTATTTTCTTTTCTCTTATACAGAGTTTATTGTACAGAGTTAAATAACAAAAAACAAATTTTTACTTATTTTTTTTAATTACTCAAATTAAATATTTAATTTGGAATTACTAAATTTTGAATCCAATTTTGACCCACCTTTGGGAAAGGTTTGCTACTGCTGATCTATAGCCTCTGATTGTGTGGTAATTAAATTCTATTAATACTTATATTTTATTATTTACTACGTTTATGAGAATTTTATATATTATGTTTACAAAATTGTATGATATACAAATGTGTATATCATTTAATCAAAGCAAAGAAAAAAAACAAAAAAATTTAAAAATACTATTTAGAATACTAAAAACATTTAAAATCATACACATTCTAAAATCTTACTAATAAATGTCAACTCTGAGCAGAAGAGTCCTACATGCATGCTATCTGATAAATTCTATCTTTACAGACTTTTTTAAAAATGACAAAATTTTCCAATTACTAAAAAGAAATCTACACTAATTGTCCTTTCCACTGTTTTTGCAACTAAGTTTAATCTAAAATTTACTGCTACTTCTAGTTCAACATATCAACATCCATAAGATATATATCAAATCTTAAAGACACAACAAAACTCCCTTGAATATTTGTTCTATAAACTTTTATCCAGCAAGTGACACATACATAGAATTCATCAGCTCATGGTATTAACATTTGTTAGAAAAATTTTAGAATATGTTGAGTTTATGTTCTAAATAGTATTTTTAAATTTTCTTCTGTAATTAAAAGTACATCTTTAATGATGAGTTAAAAGGTTTGAAAAAAATATTTAAGATGTACTGTAATTATTTAAGCTTTCTATAGAGTAGAACATGGTTAAATTTGATTATTGGAGATTAATCTTAGTTTGATTTTATTTCTAATAAAAGTAAAATATTTTAATAATTTATTTAAAATAAATACCAGAAGCAAGTAGTTATGAATGTATTCAGGAGTAACACAAAGAATGTTGCATTTCAGGAATTCTTTGGCATCACATTCATTTTCTTTCTCCAAAATAACATGAGTCAGTTCACTAGTAAAGGAATTCATATCTGTTATTGGTTGTTTGTATTTAAAAACTCTTGCTCCTCCTTGTTTCAATATCCTGTATTAGACAAAGATATACAAAATATATAGACAAAAATATAAACATACGAGTATTTAAATTTTAACAGAATAAATTAACAGAAAAATAAATTTCTAAAATTAATAATAATAATGTAATACAATATAAATAAATCCAACCAAATAAAGCCAAAGTACTGTACATTTTCAATATACTTAGACAATATTAGACAAAAGAAAATAAAATAATTCACATAATCCCTGATGATAAACTGTTTGTTTTAAAATTAAAAAATAAAATAATTAATCAAGATCACTTTTATTAATGTACTGTACAACTTGAGCCTTTTCAGTTGATTCAAATTCAAATGCTTGTGTTTGGATGGTTTAAATATTCATAATGTAAAAAATATTACTACTATTCATTCACAAAAATTTGGAAAGACTATTTTTTCAGATGAAATAACACAATATTCAATATTTTCAGCAAGGAAACATTGCACACATTAGATGTTTTAATATATAAAGCCTTTAACAAGAATAAAATTCTTTGATATTATCAATAGTAGTATCTCTTCTATACAGAAAAATCTATTCTATACATATAAAAGACTTAACTCAAAATTATCACAAAATTTTTGAACAAGTGAGCAAAGTGAAGGGGTAGGCATGGGTTAGAGTGGAACAAGCAAAGCAAAGCAAATGAAAATAAGACAGTTGGAACCAAATGGAAGAGTGAAGTGATAGAGATAGAGATGCTGGCTGCCTGTCCTGTGGGAGGCAGCACTAAGGGAACAAAATGAGTGGAGGTTGGTCCAAAGGAAGTTGGCCCCTTGCAGTGGGTTAAATCATCATGAAATTTTTATTAGTCTATATTGGGAACAAGTGGTCCAAGCCCATTGAGTGGGCAAGTAAAGTAATGAAACTGGAGCATTTTTTCTGTAGAACATTAAAAAAATCTGAGAGGTTTGACCAATTTGAAATATATATGTATATTTGTTTGTTCTGGAATTTGAAGGTTGTTATATGTTTGATTTTAATGGAGAAAATCTGAAAGAATTTTGTGATATGAATAAAAACTGTTTTTTCTCTCCCCAATTAACTTGTATGTGGAGGTGCATTTTGAAATGGATCTGGACTTACTTTATATATACAGTATTACAGAATGCTTCACTTGGAACTGTACAATTCTTTTCATCTGCCTATATATATATACTACATAATTATCTTATAATATAATCAAGATGGGTTGATGATAATAATAATAATGATAATAAGTGCAGAGCCCAAACAGTTAAGAGTTGAAAGTTGAAATTTGGTACACAGTTAGGGTCCACCATGAGAATGCACACTGAGAAGGGGATTTTGGAAATTTGCCCCACAGGGAAAGAGAGAGGGTTAAGGATTACCTGAAGAACTCAGCTTCTACTGTACTATTTTAGATGTGGTTTTTTGCATTTTTGTAGAAAATTGAACATATTTTTAGAATCCATCTAAAAATTCTCTAATTAGTCTCAGAAGAGGGGGGGACATAATTATTGCATCTGGTGAAAACAGGTAAGATCAACTATATAACTATAAAAGTTATCTTAGGTATGAGTTTATAACACAGAGTGACCAATCTAACACATTTTAAAAATTCTTTATTCCTCTACTGTACACAATTTAAAGATGAAATAACACAATATTCATCTTGTGTATACAATTTAAAGAATTTTTAAAATATGTTAGATTGAGCACTCGGTATAATAAACTCTTATGTAAATCTATACTAATATTATAAAGAGGTAATGTTTTGTAAGTTTGGATGTAGGGGTAATCTCCGAAACTACTCATCCAATTTCAAAAATTCTTTCACCAATATTTAGAATGGAACTTCAGGGTNTAAATAAGTCAAATAAGTTTACTTCGTAATTTATTTTTGTAACTTATAACTTTCTTATATTATTTATCAATATTATTTTCATATTTTATTTTTCAAATCTCTACATAAATATTTCTTTCTTTATTTTCAATTTTCAACAAAATTTAGTAATCGCTCTTTACTGAAATACAGCAATTAGAATTATTAGTTATATAAAAATAATGACAAATATAATACACCAGAACTTGTAAACAATCACAAAGTATTAGATATCCACGAACCATACTATAAATACATTCCACAGACAGTATTGAAAAACAACATCTACAAAATGTATTATGACAGAACCATAATCACAAATAAAACAATTTACCAGAACAGAGCAGACATTACTCTCATTGACAAATACAATAAAATCACATACATTATTGACATATCCATTCCAAACACTCATAATATAAAAATTGCCCACACTGAAAAAATCAACAAGTACACTCCACTCACTCAAGAAATAAGACAGATGTGGAGAATGAGTAAGGTATTTATTGTACCTTATTTGTTCTCTATTCTGCTGGTGTAATACACTACACAAAAGTCCAGAAACATTAAACCTTAATAAAATCATACATGGAATACTGAGAAAGCTGCAATATTGAACACATGTCACATTGTTAGGAAGTTTCTAGATGTTGACACGTATACCAATAACACAGATGCTTAATGTGAAACTTGTTGGCGTAGCTACGCCTTGTAATTAGTCTGGCATAGCACTTGGAACCAGTATCAGTTGAGCGTGAAATTTGCAAATAAAATAATATAAAATAAGATATTCACCATGCATTTGATTTAAAATATAGTTAATACAGAGTGTCTATAAAGTCTCAATCCATTTTGGTGACAAAAATGAAATTGTTGAGACAAATGTAGATTTTATGAATGAAAGTTTACAATGTAATTCAACACAATTCAATGTGACCACTTTGCATTTTTGAAGGACTGTTTACAATGTCCTGTTATTCAATAATGTTTTATTTTTCAGATAATTGAATTTCTTCCCATTAAAAATATTCTATTTTAAAGAATACTTTTGATTAAGAAACTTCTTTATTAGGAACTAAAATAAAAACTCTTAATGCTTTCAATTTAATCACTTTATCTTCAGAGTTTTAACATTTTGAAACACTGGATCTTAACTTTTTAAACATGAGATTAGCCAAAATTGGCTTAATCTGTTCAAGACAAAATTGGTTGAAGGAAAAGTTGTTTGACTGGTTTGCTGTACAAATTCTCCTCATAGCCTGAGGAATAAGAACAATTTTGTCTCCAGGTACATAGAAAAAAATTTCCAGAGATTAAAGCTAAAGCAGTTAAAATTCTTAAGAATTCAAAATATGCTTTCAATTTAATAGCCATTATACATTTTACCAAACTTTTTTAAGTTTTATATTAATTCTACACATAAAACTAAAAGATATATTCAGTTGTTTGTTATAAAATTTTTTTTAAAAACATAAGATAAAGAGAATGGTTTTCTTTATATAATAAACAATTTAATTTCTTTCTGACAAGAACCAAAATTACAATATGTATGAACAAAAAAAAATCTTTAAGATACACATATAATCCAGTTCTATGATTTAAATTGAAATAAAACAGTATTTAGTTATTAATAATGTAAAACTTTATTACAATAAATAAATTGTCATAATCACGTAATATACAGAACGAGTCAAAAGACTACACGAAGATTTGGTTTTTGTTGTTGAATTTGAAAATTATTTTCGAAGTTAACAAAAAGATCCCATCAAATTCTTGTAAATGACTTCCTATGTTAACTATAATAACAAAATTAATATATCTTCAGTACTTTGGAATGAAAATCGTGCAAGGGACGTGACTCGCCCTAAATACATACTGGATGATCAAAAGAACTGTTGTAGCATAAGAAATTTGGCAACATTGTAAGTTTTGGCAACACTTTTCTGTGAGCAAAGTATGCCTATTACTGTCATTATACACAAATTGCAAGAAATATTAAAATTTTGAACATTTATTTACTATGGACTCAAACAATAACATCTGGAACTCTAAATAAATAAATAAACTCAAGGACAATCCTGACTTTAAAAGACTAAAATTTAAATAGTAATAAATAATAAAATAAGAACAGTAAGCAAATTCAGTCTCTTCCAAATGTTAATTGGCTTTACTTCTAAATGTCTTCAAAAGATTTAATTGGATTAATTTCTAAGTATGCCTGAATGTCTAATCTTTTCTCAGATAGAAAAGCAGTTGTTACAAACTCCATAGACAGTTTGAAGAAGTTTGTAAACATAAACATCTGTGTTTTTATAAACACAGATGATTCAGGATATTTTTGCATAAATCATTGCCTTAAACTCTTCATTCAAATAACAATAATGAGCTAATATACAGGGTAATAATTAAAGTTCCACTTTGAAATGGCCACAAAATGAAAATTACTGGAGAGAATGTTATCAAACTTGGTAATAGTGTACAGGACGTCATGGGATTTTATTTCCCGTGAAAAAAAAAGTTCAAAAACTCGCCACCAACAGAAAAATGGCACTGTCTGCAATATTGTTAAACAAAATAAGACATGAAGACATCATTGAAAATGTTTTTAATCAGTTTTAAAATGTGTTACAGAACATGTTCAGTGTGGTGTCCACCATTTTTGATAAGCAAGTTACATTGCATTACTGTGTTCTCGACAGTAGCTCTTAGCATATCAGGAGTAACCCCACAAACAGTTTTGTTTTAAAACCAAGTAAAATAAAATCCCATGACACCCTGTACGCTATTACCAAGTTTGATAACATTCTGTCCAATAGTTTTCATTTTATGGCCATTTCAAAGTGGAACTTTAATTATAATCACCCTGTAAATTTGGAAGTCAGTCAGATATCACTGACTCAATGTTACCAAACTCCTTGCATCACTTCCCATGAGTTCTTTCATTTGACCAATCAGTACATTTATCTTTTCGTAGTAACTTACAAAAAAATTATTATTAAAATTACTCTCACCTGGAATATATCTTTTTCTTTTTATTATTTGATAATAAAATGATTACTTTCCAATTGTTAAACATTCCTGCATCCTGTAATTGAGCTGTTTTTCTACACAGTTTGGGTGCAGAATATAAATTCAAAGAAATATTTTTATTTTCAACATAACTTTTCTCATTCCATTCATATTTTTTTTCCTTTAACCAAATTCCTGTTTCAAAACTGTCATGTACATATTGAGGCTTTAATATCCAAATACCTAATAAATGAAAATAAATTTATTAAAAATTATTATTATTATTATTAAAATATTTTAAAATATAACATTAAAAATATATATTTATGCAAAGGACCAGCACAAACCTTATGAGAAATGAGTCTTGATGATTTGGTTGAATTTTTGATATTTTGTAGTTCTAGTGGTCCTGATCAAAAGTCTCCATGGCATAAAGTTAAAAAATGGAGTTTTTGACTTATTGAGCATCTAAGATGCAAAAACAGCATAATTCATGCATATGTTGTAAAGCCATATATATTTTTTGTTTCAAAATATAAAGTATGTTTCAAACATTATTGATATTCAGCACATCTGGATTTCCTTATGTGGAAATTCATTTTGCAATACGTGCAAGTTTAATCCTCACACTGTTTAGGTTCGTATCACATTAGTAAATAAAGTGTGTCCTACTATGTTGTGGATGGGTGATCTTTTCTCAAAAGACTCATTCCATCAAGACTTGATAACAATTGAAAAGGAGCTTATTATTTTATATTTTGAAACAAAAAAATATTTAGGGCTTCACAACAGATACATGAATTATGCTGATTTGCATTTTGAATACTCAATAGCTCAAAACTGTGCATTTTTTAACTTTGTGCCTGTGGAGGCTTTTGTTCAGGACCACTGGAAATACAAAAGTTTCAGTTGAATCCATTGGAATCCATTTCCGATAAGATTTGAGTGGAGTCCTTTATTGAAGAATTTTTTATTGAAGTAAAAAAAGAAATATGCAATTTATATTCTAAACAAATATATTATTATAAATAAAATTTGATATTATATGAATTTAATAAATTCAGCATAACATTCAATTTATAATACAGGTAACCCCCGTATAACACNTGATCAGCGTTTCCATGGTGACAACCGTCATTCGTTTGAAAATACGGAAAAGCGCGGGAAATTGTATGTTGGACGATTTTACCCCAAAAGATATATTTGTCCAAAATGATAGAGCCAGTTTAGCATTTAAATAAGTAATTTTATTTATTATTAATAAGTAATATGCCCACCCTATTTATTAATTATTCATAAACTCTACTTTGTTTTAATAAGATTTTTTCTCTCCTCATCTGTGATTTTGTTCCAAGCATCAGTTACTGTGATATTTAATGATTCTGTGACCATTGGGTCGGTATCTCTTCGATACCATGTCAGGATGACACCACTGTATCCTTAGGACGATACAGAGACCACAAGTTCGTGCGAGCGGTTACATATGAGGTTTGGACCGGAATGGAGTGAATGGAGAGAAGAACGGAAGAAACTGCACTCAAAGATGTTTAAACACAAATAACTGTTTATTTATATTAAATCTAAGTTAGTTATACATCAGAATTTAAGGTTGCCAAGTTAGTATATTGCTAAATATATATTATGTAAATCGCAATTTCAGCATTGATCTTTATCCCCCTTTCTGTTTTCAAGTTACAATTGAGTTCGAAATTAGTTTACGCAGAGAGAGAGAGAGAGAGAGAGCATACAATAGTGCGCGGGTATGATAAATACCTTAACTTATAATGTTGATCGATTAATAAAGTTCCCAAATCCTAGGTTTTCCGAAGTAGTTCTCTTGAAGTTCGTTGATGTTCTAAAGTTCAGTCAGTGAGGAAATAAACTTACAGGTACAGTTTCTCGAAGTTGATCTCAACGTGAGGTGGACATGTCACACACACACAATCAATTCATAACTTCCACGATCTTACTCATTGTGCCTGTCCTTTTTATATGAAGTCCTCTTTTTGGGCCTTTCCCCGATTTCATCAGGGATGACGATCTCCTTGGACCAATGAGGTGATGGGTGACACAATCGTGACACAGCAATGTACTCATCTCAACAAGGAACCCAACTTGTGGGAATTGAGATTTAACCAGATTTTATCGATTTTATTTTTCCCTTTTCTATTTTAATTTTTTAATAACCCATTCTGTCTTTATAGAGTTGCATTTAAAGTTTAATTAAAATTTATAAACGGTTAAAGTTTATAACACAAAATTTCTGATCCTCAATTCCACTGATGAATATTGCTTTCCATTCCTATACACTTTCATTGCTAAGATATCAAACATGTTTTCTATAGGATTATGATCAGGAGAACATGTGACCAGTAAACAACATGCACACCATTTGCCAAAAACCAGTCCAAATTCATTTTGTATTATGGGTGAGTTGCATTATATTGTTGAAAGTGGGAAACTTCCCTCCAATTTTTCTGCAAATGGCATTAGTTGCATATCTCATACTTGCTGGTATCTATAGCAGGAGTCCCCAAATGTTTTAAGAGGAGGACCATATTACTAATTCTACACATGCCAAAGACTTATCTCTGTGGTTGTTATTCAGAGGCAGAATTTATTTACTTATTTATTGAATATACAAAAGAAAATGTCACAAGACAATTGATATCCTCCCCTGAAAATAACACTTGTATTAAATTTTTATGCCTTAACCTTTTTTCTTTTTTTACTATTATATAATACTAATTAAAACTAAGCATTTTCTGGGAAAACAAAACAGAGTTCAGCGACATAAATTTTTCTTTTTCAGCTTGACATAAAAACACAGATCTGATGACATGCATCTGATGTTCTGTCTAAAACAGTTTAAAACCTGTTATTTCAAAGGAGGAAGTGAATGTCTAATGTCATAACTGACACTCAATCTGCAATCAGTGGCCTACATGTGAATCTAGCAATTAGTTAAAACATGCACTGTACAACCATAGGACATGTGCATGTTTTGAAAAATTCTTTTGTCATGACATCAGGCATGTTAAATGCCAATTGTAAAGATGAAAATAAAAAGTTGTCATGACTACTGATGTAAATTAACATGTAGCATGTAACCAACTTACAAATGGCAATCAGACCATAGACTACATGGCAAATTTGGAGCTCAAATATCTCAGTCCATAGAGGGAATTTAAAAATTTAGCTTTGTCACCATATTGATCTTGCCAATTTATACATATAGTCTATTCTGAAATGATAGAGTCAGTGTAAAATAATAGCATTAATAAAAAACTAACATGCAAATTACAAAATAGAAGGAAATTTGAATATTGGAATTATTATGATATTATATAATAATAATTTTTCAAAAACAGTAATAAAATAAAAATATAAATGAATTTTAACAATATTATTGGCAATGTCAATAAGGCAGTGAGACAACGGTCAGCAACCTGTAGCATGCGAAACAATTTTCAGTGGCACTCTGATTAAATAGAAACTAGTAAAAATTAAATTTTAATTATAACTGGACTAATTTTTATACTATATATAACAAAATTGGTAGAATCATGTCAAACCCGAAATAACATTATAACTTAGGTTTGGCACAACACCGCTGAAAGGTTGCCAATCCCTTGATATATGACATAGTCAAATTCACAAACGATATACGATATAAGAGACGTTGTTGAATTTTCACTAAAAATGTTTATATTACAAGTAAATGTATGTACAGTTACAAAAGTTCACAAATAACAATTACAAAACGTCAGGTGTAACAAAGTTCAAATACTTTTAATCCACGACAACAGGTCTGTCGAAAAGGACACCTTGCGACAAACTCCTTCCGATGTTAGTTACTGCACAGCGAGACAAAACAATCTTCTAGGCAAGCTTATGCGAAGCTAGACGAACGTGAGTTCCCTTGATGAGTCCTAGGCGAACTAAACTTTCCGCTAAACTCAATCCTTTTATACGGACTGAAGGAAATGGAATTCCACCAATCAGCGCTTAGTAGCGCTACAAGACGTCCGCTGGTAATATGATGTCTTCCAGCCAATCTGTGGTTGTGTTTCCAAAGTTGTCTGATCAGCGTTTCCATGGTGACAACCGTCATTCGTTTGAAAATACGGAAAAGCGCGGGAAATTGTATGTTGGACGATTTTACCCCAAAAGATATATTTGTCCAAAATGATAGAGCCAGTTTAGCATTTAAATAAGTAATTTTATTTATTATTAATAAGTAATATGCCCACCCTATTTATTAATTATTCATAAACTCTACTTTGTTTTAATAAGATTTTTTCTCTCCTCATCTGTGATTTTGTTCCAAGCATCAGTTACTGTGATATTTAATGATTCTGTGACCNATTTATTATTAATAAGTAATATGCCCACCCTATTTATTAATTATTCATAAACTCTACATGGTTTTGTTTTAATAAGATTTTTTCTCTCCTCATCTGTGATTTTGTTCCAAGCATCAGTTACTGTGATATTTAATGATTCTGTGACCGTTGGGTCGGTATCTCTTCGATACCACGTCAGGATGACACCACTGTATCCTTAGGACGATACAGAGACCACAAGTTCGTGCGAGCGGTTACATATGAGGTTTGGACCCGGAATGGAGTGAACGGAGAGAAGAATGGAAGAAACTGCACTCAAAGATGTTTAAACACAAATAACTGTTTATTTATATTAAATCTAAGTTAGTTATACATCAGAATTTAAGGTTGCCAAGTTAGTATATTGCTAAATATATATTATGTAAATCGCGATTTCAGCATTGATCTTTATCCCCCTTTCTGTTTTCGAGTTACAATTGAGTTCGAGATTAATTTACGCAGAGAGAGAGAGAGAGCATACAATAGTGCGCGGGTATGATAAATACCTTAACTTATAATGTTGATCGATTAATAAAGTTTCCAAATCCTAGGTTTTCTGAAGTAGTTCTCTTGAAGTTCGTTGATGTTCTAAAGTTCAGTCAGCGAGGAAATAAACATACAGGTACAGTTTCTCGAAGTTGATCTCAACGTGAGGTGGACGTGTCACACACACACAATCAATTCATAACTTCCACGATCTTACTCATTGTGCCTGTCCTTTTTATATGAAGTCCTCTTTTCGGGCCTTTCCCCGATTTCATCAGGGATGACGATCTCCTTGGACCAATGAGGTGATGGGTGACACAATTGTGACACAGCAATGTACTCATCTCAACAAGGAACCCAACTTGTGGGAAT